ACAGACAGACAGACAGACAGACAGACGGGCGGAGGACAGACAGACAGACAGGCCGACAGACAGACAGACAGATAGACAGACAAACAGACAGACAAACAGACAGACAGTCAGACAGACAGACAGACAGACAGACAAACAAACAAACAGGAGGGGGAGGATAGACAGACAGACTGACAGACAGACCGATAGACTGACAAACAGACAGAAAGGAGGGGGAGGATAGATAGACACACAGTACCACGGGAGGGGTAGGAGGAGGAGGAGGAGGGGTAGGAGGATAGGTAGGAGGAGGAGGAGGACGAGATATGTCATTAAATACTGACTATATATATTATATATACATTATATATATGCGTAAAAAAAAAAAAAAAAAAAAAAAGCGTACGCGTATGCTGGTTTTTGGGCACGTACGCGTACGCACGCAAATGTACGCGTATGCACCGCATATGCGTACGTGGTGCTACCCAGCTGTAAACTTTAAAATAGGACCAACATTGAAATGATAATTTATAAATATGAAGGATTTTTTTGTATGGAATGTTTTTTCAACTTTCATTTCTCGTGGGGATTTTTCTGTTGCATAAGTCCCTTCCCTGAAGACAGAGACGCCAGATACAATCAGTGCGCACCATTTGCGCTACTGTCCCTAAAAACTCGCCACAGGAGATCTGAATTTTGACCTGGGACTTGACCCCCAGTTTCCGAAAATCCTTGGCACACGCACTTTTTCGCACTTCCGGGCCCCCATCCCACTCCTATCAGGAAGTCGCGCCGGGCGTGAGGTTGGGCGTTGCAGGATGTTCATGAGAGACTCGAGAAGGTGGGCGTCACAAAGAGTGCCGACAACTATGGGAAGAAATGAGACAACTTGATGCAGCAATTCAAGAAGGTGCACAGCTTCATGTAGGAGTCCGGGAAACCGGACTACTTCCAGTTGAAGGGCAAGGAAAGAAGATCACACGGATTCAACTTCGTCATGGAACAGGCGGTGTATGAGGAGATAAACTTGAAGGGATCCACAAAGAAGAATCACATCATCCATCCGAGGAATGTCGCTGACACTGGTGCGCCGGGTGGTGTGGAAATCACGTCTGGGTCGGGGGGGGGAGGGAGGCGATGGTGATTGCACGGGCGACGGAGGTGGCGAGCCGCAGGAAGAAGACGACGGGTCGACGAAAGGTTCTTCGTCAACAGCCAGTGTTTCACTGACGACACACGGCCGTCGACAGGAGGAGGCGATCGCGATCGTCCTTCGCGCGGCAACAAAATCAAAATGTAGCACGACGAAAGACGGCGCCAGAACGCCGCTACGCTGCTGGAATGCCCGTTTCCACCGTCCGCCAGAAGCCACGCCGAGTGCCACACGCCGCCGTCGTCACGTCCGCCGCAAAATTCGATATTTGAATTTCGAACCAGGAGGTCCCTTCTCATTTATTATTTTTTTTATCCCCCGTCGCCGCCGCTGTCCTCGAATTTCCGCCTTCGGCAGCTGGACCACCACCGTGAGACGGATATCACCCAATGGACCAAGGGACACAATCTACACGCGGCCGAATACAATGTTATAAAGCGGGCTGCGGGGGGCAAAAGGGAATCGTCCTCAGGAGGCCGCCCCGAGGATAGGTGGAACGGCCAAAGGATTTTCCTTCCAAACTCCGAAGGAAATTTCCTTCGGCCAGGAGGACGCTGTAAGGAGTGTCTAAAGAGCCCGTTAGCCCAGTAGCTTTTATGAGAAGAACCAGTGGCAATTTTTTATTATTATTATTTTTTTTGAATTGGCAGAGTTTTTGATTTTTGATTTTTGATTTTATAAAAGCTATGTTCTTCTCTCAATCTCACCTCACACTACCTACCTACCACTACTCCTAATTGTAGGCATACGGGGAACCCTGTAGCAGCCAGAACGGTGCTCACAAGAGAACATGCGGGGGCTGCTCCCGACCTGCAGGTGGGCGATACCGGCTAGGGGTCAGCCGGTAGCATCAGGGACCATGCCAACAGGACCAATCCCTGTGCCTCCCCTCAGGTCCCCTCCCCTACGAACATCAGCAGACTCTGCTCAATGCCTATCGGGGGATCCAGTGGTCTATCTCTAGGTGGCGGGAGCCAAGCATGCCCGGGAAGGTACGTGACGCCAATGGGGATTGCAGCCACGACCTCCTGAATGCCACCTGCGTGCCTTACCAACTGAGTTAGGCCGCTGGATAAAGTTTTCCGTTCCGTGAGTAGTGCAGAGAGCTCGTCATTGTGTCCGTCCTACGATTGTGGGGTTCCTCTTCGAGGACATACTCACACTACATCTGACTTCGACAGCCCGGTAGTACGAGGTTAAAACAGGTTCCCAGGGTTGGGATGAGTCAGTGCAGCGGTCTTGAGTTGGCCATTCTGCTACTGGACCATAGTGTCCCAAGGCCTGAACCTAAGCTGGGTAATGGTCCCAGGATTCCCGGCCTCACCTTTTGTGTGGTAATATGAATGAGCAGAGTCTTCTTTGTAAAAAAAAAAAAAAAGAAAAAAAAAACAGGCCTCGACGTATCTGATCGCATAGTCGCATGCAGAGCTCGGTCGAAGAAAGTCCTAGGTAGTGTGAGGATGGCCTGATTGTCGCGAGGTTTCCTTGGTCTCCCGTAGGCACTGCGAGCCAAAGCAGTGATCCACTGACACGCAAACATTCAACTAGATGCCCAGAGAGACCTGTCAGTGAATGGCCATCTTCATGATGTGCCCTCCGTCAAGGATGTCTATTTTGCTGAGGATCTCCATGGCAGCCCGGCGGCTAAGTAAGGAGACTCCAGATGCGAGCCGCCGACAACTCTCTCTCCCTGTTTGCCAGTGCTTGGGTCGTAGGGGGTCGCTCCGCGTGCATGCATCCTTTCAACGTGCATCGCATCAGAGATGGGGGACAAGCAGAACAGGTAGCGGAGCTGCGGAGGTGTTCATCCAGTTCTGAGACCGAATAGATTGCTGGTCGTCAGGGCATCTAGGAGAGAACATACCCAGCCGCTCGTAGCGCTAGATTGGGCAATTAACAGTACGCGTTCGTAATCACGCACAGATCAGGCACATGATCATGTGTTCTCTTATAACTAAGGTTCATGCAAGATAATAACATGTTAGATGTTTAACAGACGACGTGGGTCACGCTACGTTAAGTGCTTTTGAGACCCACTAGGATGCGGTGCTACAGTGCATCTAGGAGAATATACTCAGCCGCTCGTAGCGCTAGATTGAAGGATAAAGAGCACACGGTGGGAATCACACAGATCAGCCCTGTCATCAGCATGTCTTTTCTCAGCAATGGCCTTGCCACATCACTGTCCAGACCAAGACAGAACGAGTCGGAGAAAGCCGCAAGATGCAGATGCATCCACTACTACTCACGGTCGGAACGAAAAATATAGGAATGCATGTTCCCACAGAAAGTGGCAAGATGCATCCGTCACTATTCACTGTCGGCCCCGAAAGTGGGTTTTCCCACAGAAAGTCGCCAGATGCATCCGTTGCTATTCACTGTCGGAACCAAAAACGTCTGAGTGCATATTCCCGCAGAAAGTGGCAAGATGCATACCCTACGGGATGCATGTTGCCACTTTTTCTGCGGGAACATGCACTCGTACACTTTTTTCGTTGGTACAGTGGTTTGGCGAGGGATAACGGTGCATGCAAAGATTATATTAACGAGTTTAACTACGTCGTTGACACTACTGTAGTATGATCAAACGGTTCTGACTCTTCAGAGACCGGATATTACGCTGGAGTTCCTCAGCGCATCTCGGAGCAAATTAGTCAGCCTCTCGTAGCGCTAGATCGGAGAATAAACAGTGCGAGATGGGGATCACCATCTCGTAGCGCTAGATTCTGGGATAAAGAGAACACGGTGAGTACACGGTGGCAATCACGACTATCAGCCACGTGAGCATGTCTTTCCTGAGTAGTGAGGCTGATAGAAAAATGCGAATTCAAATAACATGGGTGACGGCACGGATCACTGTTGACGACGTTGAACGACGTTATGGGTCATGGTTTGGAGATGTCCCTTTGGCGTGAAGATGCTCCGTGTGTCGATATCACTCGCTCACGAGAAGCGGTTCTGCTCGACGGATTTCATGTTCAAGCGTGGAAGAGCAATCAATGCTCCCGGGCAGTATGGCTTTCAGCAAGATCATTCGACCCAATTGGCGAAGTGTTCTTGTCCTGCTGAGCTGCCTCGGCCAGACCAAAGATCACATAAAAAGACACTCCATCCTCAGCTGCCGCCATGTCCCACCAATCGCATTCGCATCAACCCATTCAGTCATAGTGCGAACGCAGCGAGAAAAACAAACTCCGATTGTGACTCTCTCTCTCACACACACACACACACACACACACACAGAGAGAGAGAGAGAGAGAGAGAGAGAGAGAGAGAGAGAGAGAGAGAGAGAGAGACAGCGAGAGAGACAGAGACAGAGAGAGAGAGAGAGAGAGAGAGAGAGAGAGAGAGAGAGAGAGAGAGAGAGAGAGAGAGACATAGAGAGAGAGACAGAGATAAGCACTCCGAGTAGGACTCAGCGAGAGAGAGAGAGAGAGAGAGAGAGAGAGAGAGAGAGAGAGAGAGAGAGAGAGAGGGAGAGTCTCTGTGTGTGTGAGAGAGAGAGAGAGAGTACACAAACAGCACAGAGAGAGAGGGAGAGAGAGAGTCCGAGAAAGGGAGGGAGAGTCTGTGAGAGAGAGAGAGAGAGAGAGAGTACACACACACACACACACAGAGTACACACACACACGCACACAGAGAGAGAGAGAGTACACACACACACGCACACAGAGAGAGAGAGAGTACACACACACACGCACAGAGAGAGAGAGAGAGAGAGAGAGAGAGAGAGAGAGAGAGAGAGAGAGAGAGAGGCAGACAGAAGGGAAGGCCGTCTGGGAGAGACAGAGTGACAGACAGGCAGAACTGGTCGGTCAGGCGGTAGATTAGCGGCGGGGTGTGGAAGGAAGCAGCGTGCAGAGTTAGCGGAAGGCAAGGCCCGGGTTGAGTTTAGGGGAGGCGCGTCCGGGCATCGAGCGTGCAGGATGGCATTAGCAACGTTCAAGAGGAGAGCCCAGCAGCTTGCAAACATTTTCGAAAACGGGGAGACGGAGTTCAACTACGGGTTTGCTCGGAGGTTAGGAGACGGAAGGGGATTCGCATTCGGCTGCCTGCGCTGGAGGACCGGACTCGGCGACGGACTTGGCATCGTCCGTCGGTACGCAGCCGCTAAGCCGGGCGTGGCAACGGGTAAGTACCTTCCTGCTCTTGAAGCCATCAAGCGCGGCAGGGATCCCGACAGCCTGGTCGGGCTGGAGGGGTTCGAGGCGGCAGTTGCGCACGCGGCCAGTCGCGATCCGGTCTTCCGGATGGTACAGAGGGAGGAGGTGGACGAGCTGTACTGGAGTCCATCGCAGTCCCGAGCCCGATCCCTCGGCTTCAGGTACGACCTGTCCAAGAGCCTGATTTACGACACGTGGGTGCATCACGGACCGGAGGACAAACCCGGGCGCGCAGCTCTCGTCATGGAAACCATAATAGAAATGACGAACAGCTGCAAGAGACTGCAACCTGGCAAGGGCGGCCGCGCGGAGCGCGACTGGGTTCTAGCTTTCCTCGATAGTCGGCAGTACGCCATGGCCACTGCGGAAGGAGTTTGGCGCTCATGGCGAGCCAGCACCCCACGCATCAACGTCTACCGGCAGCTCATTACCGCCGGAGCGTGGAATTTCGATCGTCCGATCGTGTTGGGATCCTCTCAGTCTCTGTCCAACATGTGGGTCGTTTCCGAGTCCTCATTCGGCCGCCATACAATCACGTAAGCTTGCACTGCCTTGCTCTTTCTCGTCCTCAAAATTGCTATATGTAAAGCCAAACTATCTGTCTGGCCTGTACGCCTAGCGACGGCCAAGCCCCACGACTGCTATGTACTCCCTTAGAAAGCATGAACCGGTCGTAGAAACACCCAGGTTCATTCTTTCTTAGCGCGTAGATGGCACCGCTGGCGCCTGGCCCGTTTCCCAATGGGGAGCCAAATGGTGAACCATCGCCTCCCCTCGGGGTGGGGTTCGGCTTACAAGTGCTCAGCTGAGCTCAACGGGGAGTGAGACCCCTGTATAGAGTCTAGCCGCTCTTCTCCCCTTCTTAACCTCAGTAGCAAGAATTGTACAACATAGATAGAGATCGCCCACTTGAGGGGTGCCCTTCAAGATTTCGCAAGCTCTCTCAGTCCATCTCAGTCTGCGACGCCTTGGGCCTCGACCCCGGGCACCCTAGCACCGACAGAGAACGTATTTCTGATGGCCTGCGAACGCCTATCACCCCCATCGTACAGAGCTGCCGGGAGAGGATCCCTCCTCGCACCATTTCGTAGTCAGCCGGCGGCTTACGCCGACGACGCATTGGTTCATCTCCACCGATTCGTTAATTTGTCAACAATTCGGTGTTGAGCTTGTTGCACGTTTTAATATGGGCTTAAATACCTTCACAACTTGCCTTCTGCGGACTTGGATTTCGCAGAAATTTCTCCCCCCAGCTCGTTATTACCAACAGTTCAGCGTTTATTTTTAATAACTGCGTAGAGCGTTTGATTGGGTCTCAAACCCTCTCATGATTGATTGACATTCTATGGTGTACGACCTTCCCGACTTGTTGCGTCGTAAAGTCTACCTGATCACCGAGTGTGCAGTACGACTGTACGATGCAATGTCACACTATAATTGTATCACACTGCCGTTGCATAATCTATAGACCTGCTAGCTAGCATGCTTTGCACACCCGTTTTACTGTCAGTGAGTGGACTGTTATCCTTTCATGACGGATCATGGCTGATCGTTCCACTTGCCTTTGCTTTCGGAGGTCGTATACCACGACATGGTGCCTGAACATACAAGAGTTCCGTCAGAATCGTCACCTCCTTCAGGCGAGGGGCCAGCGACGGAATCTACTCGTGACATGGAGGCATCGTGTTGAGAAGGGTGCAGTGACGGAATGGGTTCGTGCTAATTGGGTCGAAGGGTGAGAAGGGAAGGAAGGAAGGCAGCAGCCAATAATTGGGGCCGTCATCCACGTCCAAGGTTAACAGGGAGACGTTCTCTGCTCCGATAGAGACGATCGCGACAAGATTTTCAAGCGGCAGAGTCAAATTGAAAGGAGAGTATAGACATCCATGACACTTCTTTCTTGCTTCCTGCGTCGTAGAGCCCATCGGTTTGCACTGTTCTGTGTGTGTGTGTGTGTGTGTGTGTGTGTGTGTGTGTGTGTGTGTGTGTGTGTGTGTGTGTGTGTGTGTGTTTGTGAGAGAGAGAGAGAGAGAGAGAGAGAGAGAGAGAGAGAGAGAGAGAGAGAGAGATGGTCTCGCACGGGAATGATATTCTTTGTCACGGACTGGCTGTACATGCCGGGTTGTTGAGACGGGAGTAGCTTGGTGCAATTTGAGAAAATGAAAGCGCAACGCTTTATTCGGCTGAATGGGAGCTGATAAGTGATCATAGCTCGCTGTGAGGAGTCTGAAGAATCTAAAGACGGTTTCCAAGGCGTAGACGGGCAGAGGGACGTGCTTCGTCCAGCCGGCGTGAACGAATGGACCTCCCAGCATCTATGAGGTTCACTCACAGAAAGAACATAGGATATTTATTGAATGAATATTTATCGTACGTCCGCTGTTTAGGTTGGAGGCATTGACGTCCGATGTTTAGCTTGGCGGCATTGACATCCGCTGTTTAGCTTGGCGAAATTGACATTTTTAATGGTGCTGAATTTCTCGGGACGCGACGAAATAATAATGGCGAGGGTGTTTCTCCGTTTGTAGCTGAAAATACAGCCGCCATTTTGCACATTTGGTCAGATTGAGTGCTGCAGCGAGGCCCTCATAAATTTCGTGTTCTGTGTGATGATCAAGTTTTGTGCGAATGCAATTAAATGCTCAACAATCTGGCGTTGTCCCTTGTTTCCCAACTTGTCCACTGGAAAGATTGTTTTCAAGAAATGGTAAACGTTAGAGGACAGCTTCGCCGACTCGGGGAAGGCAAACGTGCCCGAATTTTCGTCGCTTCTTGCCTCCTAGATGCCTCCCATCCGACGAGCGTGCATGTTGCCGATTCTTCTCCCTTGTTCCTCCCTCCCTCCCTGAGGCTCCCTCTCTCCATCCTCGACCAACAGAAGACTTCATCGACACCTGTGTGTGCGTGTCCTTTGGAACGGCTGCTTATATAAATTGGACATATGCAGAGAAGATTACTGTGCCCCTGCGGGCATATGACGCATGCAAATGAATCAAGGAATCTTTGTGTGCGTGTGTGAGTGGCCGCCTGTCTGTGCGTCTGTGTGTGCCCGCGTGCACACGTGTATATGAGGGAGGGAGCATAAGACAGAGAGGTGCTGGTGAAGGGCAAACGTGTGGCCTGCAAGCCAGGATACCCTAACCACCAAACATTTCTGCACACCCAGGAGAAGTTTGGCTAGTCTCCAGAACAAATCTGGAACAGAAAGGGTGGCTGTCTCCCATCTGTGCATATTGCACGAGGTCTCAGATGCCGGTCCGTGCGACCCTCGAGCATTGCCTGATGGCATGCCCAATGGTCACTCAACTGTGGCAGTGGTGGTGTGACGTTCAACCTCACCCCCAGCGCGACTTCCTGATCAGAGTGGGATGGGGGCCCGGAAGTGCGAAAGAGGGGTGCGCCAAGGATTTTAGGAAATTGTAGTGGAGTCCCAGGTCAGAACTGAGATCTCCTGTGGCCAGTTCAAGGGTAATTGAGCAAGATGGTAATCCCGAGTTGCATCGGTAGCTTGGGCTTCGGGACACAAGGCTACTGCTGGTGTGAATATCGGCGTCGTGGTCGGTCTCGAATCTGATGGACCTTCGGGACGCTATGAGTGTCGCGTTGGCTGGTTAGCCATCGACGTCGCTCGTAGCAGACTTCGGAATCTGACGAGGCTGGTCTCAGTCGGAGACTGTGCGATCCCTGGTCCGCCTCAGTTCGGGTCCGGCGGACGAATCCCGCTGTGCGGTAAATACAGTCTTGCTGGCACTCCGAGCATAGGGTCCGCGGCCAGTAGGGGCCGATCGCGCACCAGGGGACCGCTGTTAGACAATCAAAGGGGATTACGAGGCGCTGGGGAGGATAATTGGTCTCGATGATGGTGATTCCTGGCTCGGCGATGATGTGTCGTGCGTGCGAGTGGGGAAATCGGGGTCGGAAGGGAATCGCGCTTAAAGCCCGTTCAATATCCCATTCACATACGCGCTCCATTCCCGCGTAGAAAGGGAACTCGGGGAGGTGGGACCGTGGTCGCGCGGCTTGATAGGCACGTTCCCGTTCCCAACGTTTTCGGAATTGTTGATGCCTCAGACTCTCGCAATCCGTGACGTAGAAGGGAATCTCAACGTCCATACCGGTAAAAAGGGGTTGACTTCATCATAAGCCCTCGGGGGCAAGTCCCGTGGACGAGCATGGAAGTTGCGTCTTTGCGATTGTACTTACACGCGGTGATGCAGGCGTGCAAGATCACCCTTCTCGTTCATGGGTCGTTTCAGGTGCCCCGGTGGTTCCCCAAAGGTTCGTCAGGCAACTACCAGATCAAAAAGAAAAACAACTTCTGGGCATAACATAAGGCAATCCCTCGGCAAGCCAGCCATTCATGCATCGATAAAGCTGCGAAGGGTTCATCATCTGCCGGCAGCCAGCTGATCCACTCATAGGGAGTCATAGCAACCAAAAAGACTGATTAGTTTCCCAGCCTCACACATTCCTTCCCCCCCCCCCCCCTTTTCCAGAGTACTGCACAACTCTTCGGTGATCAGGTTTCTTGTGAGATCGCAGAACATTCATTCATCGGGTCCTCACTCATTCATGCAAGACATCGCGCATCCCCATTGCTCCGACAAACTCTCAAAGATTGACACACGCGTCAAACAAACCGAGGCATTCAACTCACACCCATCAACAAGGAAGGAGAAGGGAGAACTTCCATTTCGTCAAAATGGACATCTTTTATTTTTTGAACGAAATTGAAAACGAGTTTTTGGCCGAAAACTCGTCAAAATTTGCTTTTCCTGAGGGTCCGGCATTTGTAAGATGAGGCGGCTCAAAGAGCGGTCGTTTTCGGGGAAGCATACCCTGCAGCCCTTCGGCCTTGTGCACTTGGGGAAGCACGCGAATGCACGCTGGCCTTCGGCCTTCTGCCTGCTGTTGGTCAAAACCAGCAAGGCCTTAGTCGGAGTGGTGAAATACTACATGGGGGCAGATCACCTATCGTATTGGGGACTCCCTGGCTGTACATGGACCTAGCTTGAGACCAGGTACCTCCAGGCAGACCAGGTACCTCCAGGAAGTCCTGCGTGGAGGTACCTGGTCTCAAGCTAGGTCCATGTACAACCAAGGGGTCCAGCGTTTTACAAACGATGGACCCTCAGAAACAACAAATTTTGACGAGGTTTGGGCCAAAAAACTCGGTTTCAATTTCGTTCAAAAAATAAAAGATGTCCATCTTGACGAAATGGCAGTTGCCGCAGTTGGAGAATAGAGTCACACACCAAGCGGCATCATCATACAAAATCAGAGATAAGAAAGATGGCTTTCGCCTGAAACCAAAATTTTATACAAGGAAAAGAAAAGAAAGGTCATGATCCCACACTCGTAAGTTCCTCACTCTCTCTCTCTGCACCCCGTCTCCTTCGATGCGGAGAGTCTGTCGTCTCGCACCAACACCGAGTCGTCACCCAGCTTAGTCCAAGCACACACGGCAGGTTCGCCCGTGTGCCACAGTCCGTCGTGCCACGGTCGTGGCCCGCATGTCAACCCCGCTTACTTGGCACCAGCCTGTCGGATCGCCCGACTCACTTCTACTCACCTCCCAACTTGCTCGTTAGCCG